AACTAAATATGAGAAAACTGGGGTGTGTGTGTGTGTGTGTGTGTGTGTGTGTGTGTGTGTGTGTGTGTGTGTGTGTGTGTGTGTGTGTGTGTGTGTGTGTGTGTGTGTGTGTGTGTGTGTGTGTCTCTTTAATACATTTTTTCAACTCGAGCATCAAATTCGCCTGACGCGTTCTCGCGGTAGCTAATCAGCAGTGAGGATCTCAGCCTGCCGTCACTGACGTTGAATTTGAATCTGAATGTGTGTGTGTGTGTGTGTGTGTGTGTCTTCCCCTCATAACTAACTACGATTCCCTTGACTGTCACTGAATCCAAAACAAACAAATACACAAAAGTGAATAACTCCGGGATCTCATTTATAATTTATACCCACATTCATCTTTTGGCAGGTCCTTATGCTCTTACTAAACAGGAAGGAAAAGAAGAAAGGCAAAAGGAGAAGACTAAAGACATAAAGAGAAAGAAACCCATCGTAAATTAAAGGATGAGATGATTAAGAGATAGAGGTAAAAAGCGAGAGGAAGGGCCATGCACCCACAGGACAGTTTGTGCAGAGCGGTGCATACTGGGAAATAACTCCGGCCTGTGTAGTGCACAGTCAGACATTACAGCAGAAAGAAAAGGGTGCCCTGAGGCCCACAAAACTAAGTGAGAAACAATCAGAGATATGACAGGGCACTGTGCACAACAACACCCCCACACAGCTTTGTCTTTCTTTATGCTTTTCACATTTTCTTTCTAAAATGAAAGTCATCCATCTAGGGAGGCTGACGAAAGAAAAGGTGATATTCAGTCGTTTGAAAAATGAATACACTCCCTTTAACATTAGATTGTGTTGATATTGCATGGAATTAAATGAATACGGTAAATGAAACTCCCTCTAATCTAATCCATTTCAAAGTAAAAAACTAACTATAAAAATCATCCAGAACAAATTAATTACTGCCTGCAATTGGAAGTCGTCCTTGTCTGTCCAAAATGTCAAATCAATCACTTAATTATTTTAAGCTATTAGAAATGTATTTAAAATTGTCATTATTATCATAGCCGGCCACAGTTTTTGCCAGAGCTGCCATTTGCAATAACCCCAACGGATTCTTACCCTAGCAGTGAAAAGGCAAAGAAAGCACAGCAATTGGTGCAAACTACATGTATTGCACTGACTAGACATCAGTAAGAACCATAACTACTACTCGCTTTAGGTCTGGTGAATACTGAAGAAGGTAGCAGACAAGATCACCTCTGTAAAAACATAGAACTCGTAATATGATAGCGGCAGCAACATTACTAAAATACAAGCATATGCCCTGTGAAGTGCACTTTATAGGGGAATCACAGCAGCTCTCCATTAAAGCTATGCGAAAATTGAAGTACTTCATGCTAAAAATTCAGAAACCTTCACAACTAAGCTGAGATGTTATAATAAATAAATAAAACACTAATAAAGATGCAATAAGGACACTCTACAGGGGGTGTATTCATTTTCTACCCATTGTATGTGAGATTTTGCCTCAGAAACGTGGTGGATATGCAGAGCCTGTCATGTCTGGTGCTTGCTACAAGGTGTTGTGATGAGTGTTCGTACCGATCATGCTGTTGAGAGACAGATCCTGAATCCTTTTCTGGTTTGTGCCCAGTGGAGATCCACAAAACGAAATGGGGGTGTAGAGCGGCGAGAGCCCAGAACTGAAAGAGAGGGGGGGAGGAAGAGATAATGAATACATCGTTTTGAAAGCATGGCACAGATCACCTATTAAACCAAGTGAATGGAGAGTGAAAAATGTATATTGCTTCTGCGAATGATGAATGTGATTTGCCTTTTAATAAATGACTGAACCAGAGGGAGATGGCAGCTTTAGTAGAGGAGGACATGTCTACTGATTTTTTGCATTGATTAGATGCTGCTCGATAAAAAATAGAGCCGCTTCTCAGGTCCTATTTTTAAGACCGCTACAGAGCTTATACACTCGGGGCCTGACCTATAATCGAGCAAATACAGCGGAGTGGAAGTTCCACTCTTAATAACTATTTTTTATTTATCTCTGCAGCTGGCACACTGTGACAACACCACCATCACGGAGGAAATGGCAGAATAATTATTATTCATGTCAGTATATCCAACCTGGACGCAAAACAACTTTTTAGGATTTTTCCTAAATAGTGAGCAAGTGAATGTTAAAGAGGACATATTATGCTCAATTTTAGATTCAGATCTGTATTGTGTGCCTCTACTGTGACATGTTTCCATGCTTTAATCCTCAAAAAGGTCTTTATTTGTTCTCATACTGCTTGCTGCAGCACCTCTTTTCACCCTCTCTCTGGGGGGCTGTGTTTGCAGGCCATTTACGTGCACAAAAACCTATATAACACTAGTATACACTTTGTATAATTATGGAGAAAACTGAATATGAATGACATTATTTAAACTTAAATGTAGTAGTTTGGAACCGAATTTCAGAATAATGACATGTTTCTGTAAAATAAAACCTCCAACCGGTCCTGGGTCTGCCCCATGGTCTCTTCCCAGCTGGACGTGCATGGTGGATCCTAACCAGGTGCACGAGCCACCTCAACCACAACTCCATTGTCCCTTCACTCGAGAACAAGGCCCAGAGGTACAATTTTGAATTAAAATGTTATTGCACATTTTTACTTTAACTCCTTTTATTGGTTAAAATATTGTTATTATTTTATTTGGCTTTTTATTGCACATTTTTGCTTAAACTCCTTATAATAATAACATGTGTTATTTTTTTATTGTATTTTCTATTGCAAATTTAAAATGCAACCTATTATGAACCATATCAATATTTCTATTTCATTTAATTTCTTTTACACATTTTTTATTCAGTAATTTCTTGAATTTAAATATATATATGTTTGTAAAAAATATGACAAAAACAACATTCTGACGGTTGCCATAGTGAAGTATTCAGATTCTGACTCTGGAAAATAATTTGTTATGATGTCATAGGGCAGTATCATTCTAGATCAGTGGTTCTCAACTGGTGGGTTGCCAAAAGTGGGTCGCGGATGTAAGGGAAACTTCTGCAGAAATGGAGAGTCAGGACTCAGAGAGACACGAGGAGAGTTGGAGCTTTGATGTCAAACACTGATGTTTATTACAAGTATTGGCCGGAGAAATTCACATGCAGCCAGAGATTCTGACTGCACTGGTGGGTTGCCATGTTAAATCTGCCCAGCCTCTCTCTCGATAGACCTTTTAACTAGTTTACAGAGAGTTAATCAACAGCTGGGAACACTGGAGATACCCCCAACATTGGAGACACTCAATCACTTGCCTGACTCTTAGGCTTTGTGACCGAGAGTTGACCGGTCATAAAACTGAGAAATATCAACATATGACTGCATTAGCACATTCCTTACGGGAGATAACAGACTATGGGTTGGCCGTAAACGTCCCCACACAGAAAAGGTTAGACTCCTAGGAGTAAGACAAAATGAATCCCTAACAGCGGATGTGTGAGTGAAAAAAAACTAAAACATTTTTTTTAATTTCTTTTTTTTCTTTGTTTTTCAAACTTTTATTTTGAAGGCCCGTGAAAAACAAACAATGGCAGAAAATATTATTAATATGTCGGGTAGTAATAGATTTATTTATTTTTGTTCTTACAGTGCCCCAGAATGCGTAGTTTATATGTTAGTATTTCTAAAAATCTCCTGGGGGAGAATCCCCCCAGACCCCCCTTCTGGTGTTTTTAGCATGTGTGCCTTTTTATGTTATACAGTTCAGCTTTGATTCCATCATCTCATTAAACCTTTTTAAANCACTGTACTTCACTTTAATTAATATTGTATGCGGAAAAGCAAATATATATATATTACTGCACGATTTTTTGTTGAATAGATTTGAGTGGTTCAAAATGGTGGGTCGCGATTTATTGACAAAGTAAAAAGTGGGTCCCGAGGCCTGACCAGTTGAGAACCACTGTTCTAGAAGATGAAATGATGCAGTGAGGCTCGTAAAGGCCGGCTGCACACGGTCCAGCGAGTAACATTGAACTATTCTGTTTGGCAGCAATACTTCATAGATAGCAAGACGCCCTGCGTGATGCTCGCCGCCAAGTCTGACCTGCACGAAGTACGGCAGCACTACAGCCTCTCACCGCACGAGTTCTGCCGCAAGCACAAGCTCCACCCCCCCCAGCCGTTCACATGCAGCACCATCGAGGCCCCCAGCAAAGACATCTACACCAGACTCACCACCATGGCCATGTATCCGTGAGTATTAAACCCTTTGTGATCTCACTTAACTATTTAAGCCTTATCCACCATGGCTATTACTTTTCCTCTGTGTGCCTGTCCACTTTGACCTCTCTCCTGCTTGTGTGGATCAGAAAGTGCCTGAGATATTCAAAGGTTACATCATGGGAATATTATTGAAAGTTGACATGTATTTGCTGTGTTAAGTGTAAAGTTGCTAAACACAAATTAGATGCATATTCTGGGTCTCTCATGCTGCCTCGTGAGATGGCTGCATGTGTGTGTGAAGGCCTATAAGTCCCTGCCTGAGACTCTTTGAGGTCAATCCTTTACAGACTTTACAGAACCAGTATCTAAACTTTAAAGCTTCCTGATCAGAAGAGATTTCAGAGGAGATAATTGGAACATAATGAGACCTGGCTACTTAATCTAATTTGATCAAGCCATTAATCCTATTGTCTACACTTGAATGAAAGCACGAGAAGCACTGTTCTAGGCCATGAGTTTGAGTAGTAATGCGATCTAATGATGGAGGGTAAATTCTGGGTCAGACAGTGAACAGATTGTTCAGAAACTACTTAAAATGTCAACCCAGCTCAGGCTAAGGTGCTTACTAAATAGTATATATTACATTTCATTGTATTGTATGCAATGATTCAATGGTTTGCCACTTAAAAAAAGCATGTATAATTACCACTTCTAACTAGAATCATAATATTCATCCTACCAACTGTTTATGAAGTGATGGGACCATGTTCCCTTCCTTTCTTTGTGGATATCCTCTCCTTGTGTCTCTTGAGTTTATTCTCCTTTAAGTTTAGACATGGCAAGTTCATTATAAATTTTTTCCTGTCAATACGTCTGTCTACTGTCTATGAGTTGAGCAATAGAAGTTAAATGGCAGCAGTGCAGGCTGCAGCCCAGAAGTAAGTATTCTCTTAACTCTGGTTCTTTAATTAGTTAAGTGGTTAAATACTAGTGGTCATCTACCTTGGCCTCCCCCTCCTCTGTGTATGTGTTGTCTTTCTGTTGTGGTGAATACACGCATCTTTGTGTGTCTCTCCACAGCCACGCCCGTCTGCGCTGCATGTGTGCCTGCAACAGGTGCTCCTATTGCCTGTGTCAGAACCTCCTCAAGTTGGAGCTGCTGCGCAGTATAAAAGCCCAGCTGTGCAGGGTCGTGTTCAACAGGTTCATACATGGGTTAAGCTTGTGTGTTCTAGCATAGCCTCCTTCCTCCTCTCTGTGTGCCCCACCCTCGAGTCTGACCCCCCGGGTCCATCACAGGGAGGCTCCTTTTCCACCCAAGCTCTCTAACATGGTGATGGGGACAGATCCTCTGTGGTCAGGTTTACACTGCATATCCACTTCAGGGACAAGGGAACATTAAATGGGATTGAATGTGATGTTACTGATACCAAAAACATGTGGTTTGGATAAATAGTGTACTCTTCCTTTCCTTTTGTGAATATGTTGATACTCTGGTGATTTCTTTTTGGGAAATACTCCTGTTGATTCACGCTGGGCTGCCAAAAAGCTGCTGCTTGTTTGCATTAGTCTGCTCTTTTTACAAACTGATGAGCAAAATAAATGTAAACACATTTTTTAATCAATTTATTGATTCATTAATTTAATATCAATTAAAAAAGTTTTATGTGTGTTCGACCTTCTAAATCAAGTAGGACTCCTCTTCCTACAGGAGTTGTATATTAGATGCTTTTCAGACAAATCAAAAGTGAGCTACGTTTTTTTTATTTACTTCTTGGTCATGTTCTTAAAAGCCGATGGTCATGTTTTGGTCTCTGCTGCAGCTCCAGCCAGCGCCCCCCCCCTCTGTACAGTTTGACAAAGCGAAGTGTGACCGCGCTGTGCCGGCTAACACACGGGCTGCTAGCCAGGGAGGTGACGTGTGTTGGAATCCGTGTGGAAAATGCATGAAGCGCAGTGCATGCTCTACCCCTCTTACTAACCCACATACATGACACTAATATATTTTACAGATAAAATCATTTTTATGTCATTCAGAGGAATAAACCATTTCAATGTTTTCATATCTCTGGATATATAATGCTACAAACAACTGCAATACATCATATATCTATGTTGTTCAGCCAATCATTCCTACAAAATATCAACTCTTAACATTGAAGGGTTAAAAACTGATATATGAAGCCACATTTCTTTAATCGTTTTACTACTTCCTCCTGCAGTGGATATGCAAACTGTGAATCTTGACTAACAAGCATATTCTTTGCACAAAGGATGAAGAAAAACCAGCCATTCACTTTGCTTTGTGCTTCATTCAAACTAAAAACCTCATTGATGTCTGCATGATTATATGTGGTTCATTTTCAATCACATGCAGTTCTTCCTGTGTATTCATTTCTCTTTGGCACCAACCCTTATCATTAACCATTGAGTGCTTGATTTGTTACCTAGTATGTATTCAGTCTCCCTTTGTCTATATTTCCATCATTAACACTGAAGTCTACTCCAACAGGAGACATTTTATTTTAAAAAGCACAATATCAATCGGACATATACTTCAAATATAAACAGCTGTACTGGTTTCCTGTGGGTTTAGACTTCAAAATGTAACAGACTCATTGTTTAAAATCTAAATGTGTTCCTTTGATGTTTAAATAGGTTCTGTTGTACCAATGACCACCGTGTCATTTCATCCTGTTTTCTCCTGTCTTGTATCTTCTGTCTGTGTTTGTCCTTCCCCTCTATAGGAGTTCACAAACATGTTTTTGGCTGCCCTTCTTCCTCTTCCTCTTGCATGTGTTCACCCTCTGCTAATCAGTCTGCTGCTAAGTTGCATGGCTCACCTGTTCTCAACCTCTGTGGATAACCAAAGGCATGCCTCGGTCCTTGGCAATATGTCTCACATCTATCAATCTCTACATCAGAGAGAGGGGGGGGGCACTGCAGAGTTTGTATGTTTGTTTACGGCAGAGGTGTGTTGTGTGTTTGCAGATTTTTGGGGGAATCTGTCGTTTTTCCAGCCAATTATGGCATAGAATGCAGAGCTTGTGTTTGGGCGTTCATGGAGCTGCATACTGTAACGTTGCACCCAGCACTAACCTTTGTCTTTTTAACCTCTGGGGGTTGTTACACTATTAATAGCATGACACTTAATGGGCCTGGCAGTGCACAGTGCCACTAGCACATTGAATGCCTGAGGTGTTTTCTAAAAAGTGCATCAGTCGACCGGGATAAATTATGCTTTGATTTTACATATCCTGACATTGTAATCTTGATTTAAAAAAAATAATTTCTAAGGTCTCAGAAATAGCAAAAGCAATGTCAGGCAGCTTTAGAAAGGTCATTTTGTATTTAAAATACAACTTAATTTTGCTTTGCTAAAGTGGCATACAGTGTTTGTAAAATATTTAGGGGCGAGCAAAAGAGTCAGAAAAAACACCAATCCACATGTTCTTTATTTAAAAGACATTAAATTACTTTTTAAATGTTATTTATCCTACCCGATGACAATTAGATTAATGGCCGCCATGTGGTGTGTACATTTTGTAAATGTGATGTGTTGGTAGCTTTTTTGTGCCTTTTGTGTGTGTGGTGTGCGCCGCGGTGACATATGTCATAGTTGAGCTTGTGGGCAGGGATCGCAGTTCCTTTATTTTCAGGCGGGGTAGAGCTGGGCGATATGGATCGGATATCACTTTAGATGTTTTAATTTGATTTGTTCTCTATTTTTAACAATACAGAAAATGTAAATAATAAATGTCAGATCATTTCAATGTGAAAAGGCTTGACCAATTTTTCGGCTTACTTATAATATGATAATTACACATCAAGTATCACATGGCAGTATTGTGTCTATTCAAGCTAATTTAATCATTAAATGTTAGAAAATAATCGACAATGGTTTTAGTATTTTAGACGCAATGGGTTCTCTGGTTCCAGTTTCCATGTGAATTTAAGCTTTATTTTTAACACAATTTATTACATTTTATAGACTAAATGAATAATGAATTGATCACAAAAGTAAACAGCGTTATTATTGCTAATGAAATATTTGTTAGTTTCAGCCCAAGTCAATATTATTTTTGAATGGTCGCCCCACTCTACCCACTGCGTTTGAGCGTGTGTGTGCGCACGACCCCGGCCATGGTGTGACTTTGTGTGTGTGGGTGGCTGCTGGGCTGGGTGGAGGCTTCGGGGGCTTCCTGCTCTCAGGAGGGTTTAATTCAGGTGCAGCAGGTTTCAGCCCTCTCCAACATGGAGGGTCCATCTTTATGGAGGCCTCTGCTGAACAACTAAATCCCCCAGAAAGGTAAAAGCAGAATACACTTCCACAGAGTTAGATTTGTATACCAGACTGGGGAGTATGCCCTGGATAGGTTTAACTTTTCACTATTTATCAACAAGGTCACTATTTTAACATTATTGCCAATGTTCATGTCCTGTAGCAAAAAGAGACATACTGGAGTCTTTATATGAATAGTTTTACATCTTGGGAATGATCTTATTGACTTCAGAGGAACAGTTCCAGTGAGGATCAATATCACTTTCATTTCTGTGTGTTGAATATGAAGCTACTTCAGCGGCTGGTTAGTCTACTCATTTCCTGGAGGCTATGCTAAGCTAACGGGCATATGTTAACAGGCTAAGCTGTTAGCTTAGCACAAATCATGTTTTACTGGAAGATACGTACTGAAGCCCTGGGAGACAAGTGAGAAAATAAAAGTTTTGATATTCAGAGTTGTGACATTTAAACCTAATCCTCCAAATAGGACTTAAAGCCTTCATGTTTCATGAAGTGGTTCAGCCTCTTGTGGCCGACATGAGCATTACAACAACAAACACGGAAAAATGATCCTGACAAATTAATCTGCCCAAACCTTTTTGTTTTACCTCCCGAAACAATTTTTTATTCGTAAAAATGACCGTGGCAAAAATTGTATAAATCCTGTTGTAAACAAAGAACAGACATAAGTTTAGATCCGACTTGCGTCTCTGGGGTTTCATAGATATTAGAGCTAAACTATTATCCAACTCTGTGCCAGAAGAATTATTTTCTGAATGTCCAAACATCCCTTTAAGGTTTAAGGCTGGGCTAAGTTGAAGTTTTTGTCCCTTCACAACAGAGGGAGCACAGGTGACATGTTTTATGCTGGTTTATCTCCTGAGTGTGCAGTAGCTGTAGACCAGTGGTACTTTGTTGCTGTCTCCGTTGCCTCATAGTAGTGCTTGCTTTTTATCTTGCATACTCTAGTTCTCCAGTGCTTGTGTTTCTTGCCAGATCAGCTGGTGTTCAGTGATATATATTATTTTCTGGTTTTCTTCCTTAGTGTGAATCAGAGCTGCTGCTTCTCATAGAGCAACACCTTTCCTTTGTCTTCTTCCCTAAAACTAAACCAACTGTCAAGAGAAAGCATGTGTTCCTGTTTCAAGCTGGTATCACATAGCGCTGATATTCCTCATTTACCTGATTTAAGAAAATCCCCACTGTAGAGACGGGAGGAGGGCACATGACTTTCTCTAGTCAGTTGGCAACTCTTCCCTCTGCTGTTTTAACAATGGCGTCGTATTTTTTTAGATCAGGGGTGTCCAAACCTTTTTCACTGAGGGCCACATACAGAAAAATATACGAAGGGCTGGGCCACTCACTAGAAGTTTATGGCCTCATAAGGTAAGTTATAAGTCAGCAAAATATATCAAATGTAGGTAAACTATTCTTGATACTGGAAAATGTTTTAAGAAACACAACAGCCTACATCACAGCTCTCCATAGGGTTTCATGTATTGTGTTGGCAGCTCATTCCTTAAAACAGAAGCTTCAGATTGCTTATAAGAAGAGGAAATATGAAGGGTAGATTTCAAGTTTGTTATGTATTAAGTTATTGGGCTTTTTTTAATCAACTACGATTTGCGTGACATTTTTTCCAACTCTAATTGACAGAATTTATATGAAAAGTGGGCTGTAATATGTTTTTACATTTGTATTAAAGAAGTACAATATATGACAAGTTCATTTGTGGGCCATGTTTCAGTATACTTTTTGAATTAGCTGAGGGCCGATTCAAAATGGACGTAGTTTGGACACCCCTGTTTTAGATGCTGCTCCCTCTTTTCCTTGTTGCGTCCCCCCCTCACATGACCTGTCCCTCTCTCCCTCTCTCTCACAGGCACATGGCTCAGGCTGATCTGAAGAACTCCACCTTCTGGCTGAGAGCGAGCGTGGGGGCCACGGTGTTCGCGGTGCTGGGCTTCGCCATGTACAGAGCACTGCTCAAACAGCGGTGATGGGACAGCGTGACACTTCCATCCCCCCCCGGCCCCTTCTGGTGACTCTGCCCCCTCCCCTCCTACCTGAAAGACTCAAAAACACTGGCTGACTAACCCACCCTCAACTCCGCCTCATCCCCTTCCCACAATGCAACACAAGCAAGAAACAAATGAGCGAAATCATAGTTACATTTTATATGCATTAAAAAAAATGAAGTGTGGTGTAGTTTTTCTGTTTAAAGTTGTGGGAAAAGGAGCAGGCATACTTTTGAAATCATTCAATCTGTAAATGCTGACATGTTGTCTAGTATAGTCCGACTCTACTAAACACTGGATGTTTTCAGCTGATCCAGTCCTCTTTTTATTTCTCAGGTCAGTATTATTCATTAGTTAGATGGTTGGAGACCAGAGAGAGGCAGCCATATACAGCAACACCACAAAGGGACTTGAACCTGTTAATAAATATAGTGTATATGCCGCATTTTATGCATGTAGGACTTTTAGAATTGGACCCATAGACCGCACAACAAGCTCCTACAGGTGTTAGCGATGCATCTAACACTAGAGAGGTCATGATTGGCATGCACTTGTTTATTTTGTGTGTTTATTTATTAACCTGTTTCTTTGTTTTTCTTGTCTGTTTTGAGTGCACCGCATGAAACAGAAGGATTTACATTTTCCTTGTATTTTTGTATTTAGTTTTATCAAAGCAGTCCTTACGTATTGTTTTTTTCTGATTTTATTTTTCTGGTTTTCAAATAGAGTTTCGTCCCTCATGGTATATTTTTATGAAGTTAGAAGCACCATATATCAACAGATTATGCCATTAACAACAGCCATTCAGTGCACCTCTCCCACCTTTAAACTATTAAAAAGTGTTCATTCTCATTCTTCTCTTTTCCAGCATTTACAATAAAAAATGGTATGATCTGGCCCAGCCATGTGTTGTAAGGGTTAAATGACAGCAACATTTAAGAGCAATGAGGACAAACAAAATTGGTTTTAAATATCTGTAATAAATGACATTTACACCCTCTGAAGCCATGTTGTGCTTGTGTGTTCTTCCTGAGAGAATAAGTGGTCATTTCCAAGCTAGATTTGTGAAATGAATCAGATCAGCTTTTTTTGGAGACTGATATGACTTTTATGAAGCAGAATAGAGAAGTGGGTATGGGATGGCGCTGTGAACAATACTGCTCTCAGCATGCTTGAGGAGGAAGTCACACACACCACACACACGCAGGTAGACAGTCATTTCACTGGCTAAAGTAGTTTAAAGTCAATCTACCAAGGGTTAACATGTCAGTAGATCAGACTCAATTATTGTTAGAAGGCTTCCTGCAGAAAAGAAAAGATACTATGGTAAGTTGGAAACTATCTTGTAATTAAATATGATTATATGTTTATTTTAAAGGTGTAAAAAAATTGCTACAGATTCACTTTTTTCTCTAGAAACTAAGATGGGTGACATATTGGTTCAGGCTTCAAAACACAACCCTGTTCTTCTATACACAGAAGAATGGCAGCGCTGTAAGTACACATTTACCTGCTGTAAATATCACACTGGTGAATAATATTCACACTATTACATTTCTTATACATTTCCTGATGAGCACCTTCTATTCATAATGCCAAAACATACTCAAGTGGAGGATAGTTACAGCGCCAGTAGTTTTTCTATCTTTTCTGTAAACGAGCACCCTGTTTTAAATTTTGTTTTGTAATGCTCTCTTCACAGCCCCATTTGAGAGGCTATTACTACATTTACACAGTAAGTCTTCTTCATCTTACCACTTTAATAATATTATACGATTATAATTTAAGTAACCATTTTAATCTCTAACTAAATGTGTTTAGTCAAGCACTGAACAATTTAAGTTACTTGAATTTGAGTCGTATAATTTAAAGCTACTTTATGCTATAGATCCATTTGATATACTTGACAACTTTAGTCGTTAGGTACTTAATAATAATCCAAAAATGTATATTATTCCAAAAACAGTTTTAGTGCTTTGAGTAGATGTTGCTGCTAATATTTAAGGGTTTTTTTTAACTTGAGAAAAATGTTACTTATAATATTATTGCCTAAGTCTCTCTCTGTCCACATCTCTGTCAGGTGCAGTCGGTGCGAGAAGTCCCGAGAGTTGCCGGTAATCGCTTTGTTTTTGAGATCATCATGACCAATGGAAAGAGGAAAGTGTTGGTGAGTCACCACTGTGGTTTGAATACAATCTCATACATTTGCAGACCAGAAGTGGTAGGATGTTTCAGTGTGTGTGTGTGTGTGTGTGTGTGTGTGTGTGTGTGTGTGTGTGTGTGTGTGGCACTTATTGTAAGTCGCTTTGGATAAAAGCTTCAGCTAAATGCAATGTAATGTATCCCAGGTCAGGTATTTGAATTACAGCCTTCATCCTGCAGCTTCATCCTCTGTCCTTGACCCCTCCCACCAGAGGAGTATAGGCTTAGCACAATACCCTTGAAGATTGCTAGTCATTTATTTTCATCCCCGTCATTCATCCTGAGGATGTTATGTAGCCGCAACTCTATGGGAATTACCATCATGTTTTCTCTGTAGACATGTAGGCCTGTAAAGGCCCTAGCTAGCTACACTTTTGGAAAAGCATTTCAGATATGGAGAAAAAACCTTGCTCTTGTTGCAACATTTGCTCTCCTCTTATATATTTCTTATATTGTCAGACACATTTTTAAGCCTGCCTTCCCTTTTTTGGTTGTTTTGCAGTGTAGGAAGTTGTTGCCAATGTTGCAAGGAGTAGAAACTTGTCCTGCAAATTAAGCTGCCTTTGGTATTTGTAGAACAGCCAATAACAATGCCCTCCCTCTGAAATGGCCTGTGATTGGCCTCATATTCCTATAAAAGACTTTCTACAGCCTGAAAACATTTTTTTTAAACATTACAACATGCTGAAAGGTTATAATGGATTTTTTTGTCAAATTACATAAAAAAAAAAAAAGGTGCCTACTGTCGCTTCCAAATGAGTTGTGCTTTCAACCATGTGATTCTAACTCCTCTTACCAGTTCAGTATGGCCCAGTGGGGGTGAGCCACACAGAGGGAAGACAAGAAGGAGACTATGACATTTTACCGCTTAGACAAAGTAGGTTCTTATACTTTATTTATTATAAAATGATATACAGTATGCTGATGTTTAAACGACAGACCCTATCATGTGTCTTCCTAGGACCGTGTGCGAACGCGATGGAAGAGGGTGTGTATGACTGTCCTATATCTTACAGGAGGGCTGCTGAAAATCCGAGTGAGTACATTTCTTTTTCAATGTCTGTTTCTTCCCCCCAGTGGTGCTAAGATACACCTTAATTATATATTTTTGTGTGTTGGTGTTTCCCCCCATCCATTTCAGACGCTGCAGAGAGCATCTATGACGTACCCAGCTCTCTGTTGAGGAGGAGGCCTGATCACACTTTAGGTAAATCAGCATGTTTTGTTCTCTCACGTATCATATATATCTTTTTAATATGGCTTTTAATTTGGGTTAACTTTCAATGTCACTAGTATCATTGTCCATGTTTTACTCTATTCTTTTTCTGTTTTGCTTTTATTTTACATTTTTAATTTTCTTTTTAAAATTGTTTTATTAGTATTGTTTTATTTAGAAGATGTTTTATCTTGTTCTGTATTCATTTTAATATTATTTTAATATTGTTGTTGTGTTTTCTGTAAAGCACTTTGGGCTGCTTTGTGCATGAAAGGTGCTATACAAATAAAGTGTATTATTATTATAATATAAAAATAAACCAGCTTCCAAAATATACACATAAATATGTATGTAACAGAACAACAGGTGCAACAAAAATGTCCTCTATGTTTCAAAGTTCAGTTTTTTTTTTTGTAGTTGCAGAGGTGCAGCCGGAGGACGGAGACTACTGGAGGATATGAGATCCAGCTGGAGGACACGATAGTCTGGAGCACTCTCTCCAAACCTGTGGACCAGACGCAGAATACCAAGCTGCCTAATATCTGTAGCGATGCATTTAAACACACACACACACACACACACACACACACACACACACACACACACACACACACACACACACACACACACACACACACACACACACACACACTGTATTTATGCAACATGTTTGTCACCTTAGTTACACTTTTGGTTGCTAGACAAAATGCACAACCACAAGTCGGTTTCAGCTGTGGTATTTATTTCATCTCTTTCTATACAAGACAGAGATCATCTATAACTAGAATTAACACACTGTACAGACATGTCAACACACACGGTGGGCCAGTCACACCATGGTTCACAATAGTGAAGTTACTCATTTACACCACTTTCACAGTTTTAAAGTATACACCACCAGCTGTATTGCTGTTTTACACACTTTGGACTGGTTTGAATGGGAATGCTTCCAAAACCCCTTTATGGGTTTAATGCAATATACTAAAAAACACATGTTGGAGGTACATGAGGAAGTGAACAATACAACTTAAACATGCCAACATCTACTGCAAGCAATTGTATTATCTTCTTTTATTCTACATTTTAATTTGTTTGAGGGTAATATTGGAGAAGCTTTGAAATGAAGTGATTGACTGCTCACATAGTGCCAGTTTAATCTCATTAATTCTACAGCTGGTGAATACCATAACAGCTACAGTGGGTAATGTTTTAGGAAACATTTATTATCTTTGTTATAAATCTACTGCTCTGACAAAAAAAGAAGAAATATCTGCTATCTGTGGCAGGACTATAATAATGGAAGGTAAGGTAATAAGCTTGACAGCTGTGAGGACTAACATTAGCCATGATTGCTATTTATATTCATTAAGATATGTTTATATTCATAATGATAATTGTTTTAAATCTGGCTTACTCTTGCTGGCTTCTCCAATATAACTTACACAAACGTTAAGATTTATCTCAAAAGAAAGTGAAAATGTACACTGTATCAACAACACTTATTTTCTCAGCATATGATTAAACATCTAATATCACTTGATCGACACACATACACATACAATAGCAGTACTTATCCAACAAGAACAATGTTGTAGTGCAGGTATTAGGTTTGAATGTAAGCACAAATAAAGCCTTTGTAACAAGCAATGCATAAAAGTGATTTGTGCATTCTCAATGTGTTTCTTCTCAAAAGGTACAATTAACAAAAATACCAAACTATATTTGGACATTCAAGTAATACATATATATAATTCCACTTGAATAAGTAGAAGCTTTAGTTTGGATCAGTTGTGTTGTGATCATTTTCAGTTAGCAAAACAGAGTAGTATTCATATTTGGTTCAAAGTATTGTTACACACACTAATAATTGCAAAAGGATAAAGATTGGGAAAGTGCCACTCTACGCTTACAACTAAACTTCGCTGCACCCGGAGGTCATTGTCATTTATTTTGTACTATCATCTCCATGAATGAACCTCTTTTGCACCAAAGTTACACACTCGATAAACCATAATTAGCCCCAAAGAAAGAGGGAAGCTGGGTGTCGCTTGTCAGTGTTTTACAGTACATGGTATGGATCTCACCACTACTTTTCTAGCTGTGGAACATATTTACCTAGCAAACCGATGTTTGACATTTGATGTAGTTCTCGGTTTAGAACTGAACAGGTTATTGTACAGACTGTCTCGCCAGCAACCGGCCCAACCACTTGAAGTTAAATGTAGTGATGTAATCATGCGTGGGCCTGGGATTGATCCCTGAGGAACTCCTCCAGGACGGTGATGATGCTGCAGGCTTCAGGCATGTCGCTGTGCTCCGCCCTGGCGTTCTGCAGCAACACATCCCCATTTCCGCAGCCCTGTAGGAACCGGCAGCTACGAAACAGGGCGTAGTGACTCATCTCTGCCTGTCGCACTAAACGCTTCAGGCTGTTCATGTCCTGGATGGCCTGCGATGTGAGAGTTGTGGTTAATACAGAGGAGGAAACAAGTTGAATGAAAAGGGAAGCAATCTGGAAGAAAAACTGGCAGTCATGTAACTGAGATATTAAACTAAGTATCTGCCGAGAGGAACTGAGAGCTGTTTCTCAATCTTGTTGACATGGGAGATTGTTTATTTTATTGATACATTTGTAATACAAAATAAATAAAAATAACTTGAAGCATAGAGAAGAATTTTACACTTTACTTATTATCATCCGAACTTTCTATTTTTTATATCAACAAAAGACAGTTCCATCAGTATTTTAAAAGAGCTTTAGTCCCAAAATGTATACACAAAATACAAAATGTGTTCACATGAGAACTTGATGCTAGGGTAATGAGTTTTAGGAAACTGAAACCAGGATCCAGAAGCAAAACACACTATTAAGGTCTGTCTTTTTGAATGTTTTCTCACCTTGAGTTTGAAGTTCTCCAGAATCTGTCTGAGCAGGAAAGGATTACAACGCTCTGCAGCGTTTAGAAATGCCTGACTCCAGTCGTCACAGAAACGATTGCTCACTGGGGGAGAAAACATAGAATACAACTCTTAGACAGTACAAAGATAAAACAATAATTGTTTCCTCATGAGGTTTGTGTCATGACTTACCAGCGTTAGAGAGAGTGGGGGGGCTGGTGGAGCAGTCGATGATCAGGTCAGATTGTGTGTCCTCTGAGATAGCCTTACACAGAGAAGCTGTTGTGGTGTCTTGTTGAGACAGACCCTGCAAACTGGCTGCTTTGATGAACCTGGTGCAGAATGCAGCAGATTTTTAACAGACATGGATATAGACGGCTATTCATCTGTACGACATGGAAATCAACAAAAGGCCTGCGGATTTTTCGCATACATTAATCACTTATATATGTGATACAAGAACTGTAGCCTAACTCACCTGGACACATCAGTCTTTGTCCTCTCATCTGAATTATTGACCTCCACAAGTGTGTGACTCAGAGCCTGTAAACAGAACAATAATGAGTGAGAAGAATTGTTGTAAAGGAAATGTACGTCTTTAAACAATCAATCATATTTGATTCATATAGCACCGATCAAATCAAATGCACCTACAAGTGCCTTACACTTGGGCTGGCTCCGGCCTATATAGCTGAACTCCTCCAGTGCTACACCCCAGCCAGAGCCTTAAGGTCTGCTGACCAGCTGCTGCTGGTAGTGCCCAAGACCAGGCTTAAAACCCGAGCGCACCGACCCTTCGCAGCAGCTGGCCCTAGGCTCTGGAACACTCTGCCCCTCCATGTGAGGTCGGCCCAGACCCTAGGGGTTTTTAAATCAACACTTAAGACACACTTCTTCTCCCTGGCCTTCTAGTCAGAGCAGAGCACGACTCCTGACTTTTCCCTGTGTTTTTTATATCTGTTGTAATTTATTTTCTTTTATTGTGATTGTAGTAATGTGTTTTTATTACATGCACAGCACTTTGGCTCCACCAAAAATCGCTTTTAAATGTGCTTTATAAATAAAACTTGATTTGATTTACAAGCGATTTCCGAAACTTAAAAAATTGTTAAACCTTAATTTATAATGATCAACAGTATTATGTAAATAAAGCTAAATAAAGTATTAACAATATAGATGATAATAGAATAAGGATATATAATAAAACATGTTTGCAAAATATATGCAAACATGCAGGATTTGAATAGTGAAATAAATCAACTGGTATTTTTTTATGAAACGGATAAATACCTTTATATTTACACAGTCTATAGTAAATATGTATTCCAAGGAACATCTGCCCGGTAACACACTACACACTCTTACTTGTTCCTCTATGTATCCAGATAATTGTGGTGCTTTTTACTGAAACCCCGTCTGCTATGGTTAGACCAGTACTCATCAGACCTCATTGTTAAGTTTGTAGACATTCAATTGTTTCATTAAAAGAGAGAAACGGCTCACTCCATTGGACGTTCTCTAGAGGTAAAAATGACTCACAGCATGCAGCAGGAAGCTGATGTTGTTCTGAACGAGCTGCACCACCCGATGGATGTGCATCACAGACTCCTCGTACCACCGGCTCAGATAGGGGCGCACCTCCGACTCAAGGTTCAGCAGCTGACACAGACATAAACACGTAGCGATAAGTCATTAATAATGTACCGGCAAATATATGACTTCCTTACGCTGTTATCATATTCTCATACCTCTGGGGTTTGCAGGCTGCTATGCAGGCCTTGGACGTATTTATCAAGCTCTAATCTAAATGTGTATTGGGTTAAGGAAGAGGAACTATTTGTAGTTTCTCTGTAAAAAGTTACAACAATGTGGAAGAAATACAACAATGCAGGAAAGCACAAAGATTATTCAAGCCGGAGGATGCTTATGATTAAGGTTGATTTCATGGTGACTGTGTGCAAAGGATATAAATTCAGCCATTTTTCGGAGCCGCCCATAAAGCAGATGATATATCCGTTTCCATCCGCATCGGGCTGTTCCGGAGACCTCTCCTGCTCCACGAGGCAGCAGTAGCAGCCCACCGCCTGCTCTGGGATACTGGGGGAGGGTAAAGAATCAACACATTTCTGTTAACCAACATATTCTGTACACCTCTGAACCTTCATTTCCAAGTGAATGTATTTTATTTATGTGATGGTATCTGTTAGAGCCACTATTTTCTTTTTATAAGAAAGCCCACCTAATTGTGACGTCTGTAGTCAACACACTATAAAAGACTACAATTCCCACAGCGCCTGCGCTAAAGTGATGGGCAACCTGCTAGAAAGACGCCTCGAGGAACAGTTTTTAACCGTCCAATTACCCTTTAAGTTATGAAGTTGTATAAGTATTATCAAGAAAGAAAAAATACTTAAGTTGTTTGTTATTTTATTTGAGTTTTGCCTATTTGTTTTGAATATTGTAAAGGCCTCTTTTCTTTGTTGCGTGCGTAAAACTTTGTTATTTTATTTTGAGCAAACACATATATACGCATAATATCATCCAAACCATCGGAGGCCAAGCAACTCTTCAACTGTAAGTAATTTAAAGGAAAGAAAACTAGCTAAAAATGTCTGTTTAAGTCTTTTAATACAAAAACAAGGAAGGAAGCCACGACAGTATCAAACAGACTTCTTCCACAATGGCTATGTATAATATAATGTTATAGAACGTGATGCATCCAAGAAACATTCAAAGAAGAGTGAACATGATCTTTTTATTTTTGTTGTAGCATTACCGAAGCAAAACAGTTGTGTTGAAACATGTTTATCGTTACCTGAGTTCCACAGTGGCGATGTTGCCCATGCCTCCCAGCAGGGCCCCTTTGCTCAGCCTCCTTGAAATGTAAGTCCGCAGCTCAGGCTCCGCCTCTGATGGCAGGCTGCTGTCAATCAGTGTGAGGCTGTAGGCGGGACAGAGAGTCAGCATGGACACGAGCAACAAGAGGAAGGTAATGAGGAATTTGGAAGCCACTCAAGTCAAATGGACGACGGATGGAGAAAGCTGATGAGCATTAGCCACACAAACCAACACAACACACAACTGAGTCACATGGCTAGAACTGTGCCGTGGACATTGTACCATTATTTAAATGATAGTCATTCACATTTTGCACACTCCACTTGACACATTGAAGTTAAGATATGTAACTCAGCAACATAGCAATGACCATTCAGAACAAAGTCACGAATGAAAGCAGCATTGACTCCATGTTGATTGGATGTCCCGTGGATACACCAATGCAAAACAGTGAAGGTCAAAGAGAGAAACGACCACTGAAAGCAACGAGAAGATGGGTGGGTGTCTCCTTTGTTACCTAAAGTCATCTAGACTGGTTGTGGAGTCTGCTCGTCTCTGGTTCCATGCCGCATTTTCCGCAGCAGCTTCAGATCTAAGACAATTGACAGTTTACTCATCACCCTGTTAGTGTTTAACGCACACATCTGGTTTGACCTGTGAGTGTCAGTGTCAGCAGTTTCAGTAACAAAGGACAACAGAAACATAAGAGTGCTTTAGAGGAGGTACATTGACTGTATGATAAACAGTGATACAGACAGTCACACTCAATACACACCAGGGAGCTGGTTGTGTTCAGGGAAAAAAGGACAGTAATTAAATGATTCTTGTAGGATTCAAAATATTAAAATTAAGGTAGTTACTGAGCACCAGTGGAGAAAAGTAACTAGGTACATTTACTCAAGTACTATAATTAAACACATAGAGGTACTTATATTTTGTACTACTTAATACTTCTAACCTCCTATATTTTGAAAGCCAATTTTGTAATGCAGGTCTCCCTTGAAAAAGAGATCGTTGAACTCAATGGGATTTCACCTGGTTAAATAAAGGCTACAAACAAACTACATTATTTTACAGATGTTTTTACTAGTGACTTTATAAATTCAGATTTTGACACACAATATTTAGGAAAAGCTTTTATAATATGATACATTTGGTATAGATCAAACCATCCAACATTATACGTAAGTCACTAAAACCATGACTGAAAATATTTCCCAGTTCCATCTTCAGAAATGTGAAGACTTGCTGGTTTTGCCTTAAAATATTTGAAAAATAATTAGTTTTTTCTGCAATGAGGACTTTTACTCCAATTCTTTAAGGACATTTTCCTAATCGTACTTAGATACTTTTACTTGAATGGCATTCTCAATGCAGTACTTTTACTTGAAATGTTTACAGTGTGGCACTTTTTTCAACCCCTGCTGAGCACAATAATAACAATCCAACAATATAAATTAATAAATAATATGATTTTTTTGTACACAATATCATTGTTCCTTTGATATTGGATTACGCGTTAAATTACAGACGTAAAGATTCCTGCAGATTCCCAATAGTTAAGGGAGAGAAAATGATAACAGCTGTCATGAAATGTGAGGAATAGCCCGGACATTTACCTTGTGCCTTGATAGAGATAGATGGTGTAGTAGCTGTTCAGCTGAGTTTTCTGGATGTATCCAGTAATTTCTTCGCTGTCAAAGTCGTCCCTCTCTTCCACGTCAATTGAATCCTGGAAGGACGAGGTTTGGGAGGTAAACATGATCCCTCTGCTGCAGGGAGATAACGATCAGCCGGATAAAACTGCAGAAAACAAGCACGTGTTTCTAGTATTCAATGTGTGTGTAGACGAGTATTATTGATGCGGGACAATTGTATTAAAAATAGTAACAGCGCATATGAAACAGCTGTGTTAAAGGTTGTTGTGTTATCGTTAATGTGGCTTGTGCGCATGCGTCATCTGGGTACGTTCTCAATAAGGTCCGACTGGAATTTAAAAAATGTTTCTCTGTTCCTGTTTCATCTCTGGATTTACAAAATAAACGTCTGTTCATTTTTGAAATGATGTTGTTAATGATGTCGGTTTTATAACAGTGGTTTAACTTGTTGAAATGGGAACAAAACGTTCTGTTTGTGAATAAAATATGTTGCATGGACAATTATAGAATATGTATTGTGTGGCCAATTCATCTGGATTCATGGATAGGTTCCATCTTCAAAAATGGAAAGAGGAGAAGGAATTATTATTTTCTTTAAAAATTAGACTCAACTGTCCGAAATGTGTTGGAGAAGTAAACAATTGTCAATGAAAGACATTTAGAAACCTGCTTTTAGGTATGAATTAAGATAAGATAAGATGGACCTTTAGTGATCCCCGAAGGGAAAAGTCAGGTGTTATAGCAGCAACAGAATAAGAGAGAAACCCAGATAGTACACATGATAATATACACAGGTATAACAAGAATACTACGGAGCCCCTCGTAGAATACAAATAAAATGATAAAAGTACAAATTACAAATTAAATAAGAATAGCCTACACAAAAACAACATTGGTAAAACTCTGCTCTGTGAATGTACTCTATATCCATTGAGAATATAATCTATTTTCAATATTAAATTGAACGCGGAGATGTGGATGTACATGTTTACATATGTAAATTGTATTTCTAGAATAACTTATTTTAATTTGTCATTAAACAAATAACATGTTTGTAACAACAGAGTTCGCTGTGTAGACCACAGCTGAAGACACGTCGCCATATTTGAACTTCCTGTTGACATTTGGTAGGCGTGTGTTTGTGTGTTTGTGTGTTACCGTCAGCTGCTTTATTTTACGGACAGTGAACCGACAGTACAGAAACCATGGGAAGGAAGAAGAAAAAGCAAATGAAGCCTTGGTGCTGGTATCCTTTTCCAATGCTTAAATGTAGTGTTACTACGTTATCCTGCTCTTATCAAGACCTGCATCTGTTTGAGAGAGATATCCTTATTATCATGTAATGTTACTCATCTAACGTCACTGTAATCACAACAACACTTGTGTAGCGTTAGCAGAATGGTTAGCTGACTAACATTATGCATCCATATGTTTACGTGTTGTCCGTGTTGCTTTAGTTTAATGAAATATCACAGGATATAATGTGAGGAGATGTCTGATTTTGATACCCTGTGATTTGTGTCTGCTTAGGGGTTTGAGTAAACAAATGCATCAAACGTCTTTATGGTGTAAAATAGCATTACAATGATTTGAAGGGGTTTCCTAAATGTTAATGACAGGTACTGTAACAGAGATTTTGATGATGAAAAGATTCTCATTCAGCATCAGAAGGCTAAACACTTCAAATGTCACATATGTCACAAAAAGCTATACACTGGCCCTGGGCTTGCAATCCACTGTATGCAGGTGAGGAAATGTATAATAGAAACCATCTCTGTAAAATCAAAAAAGTATTTTGTTTATACACTTCACTCACTGTATCACTTGTATCATAGGTGCATAAAGAGACCATTGATGGAGTCCCTAATGCAATACCGGGAAGAACAGATATTGAGCTGGAAATATACGGCATGGAGGGTATTCCTGAAAAAGACATTGAAGAGAGAAGAAGAGTCCTGGAACAAAAGAACCAAGGTATGTGATTAAAAATACACAAATGTACCGTCTTCTTAGATAGATAGTTTTATTGATCCCAAGTTAGGAAATTATGTTTGTTACAGCAGCAGTGTGTTCAGGCATTAAAATATTACAATATTTAAAAGGTGGAATGACGTTTAACATAATAAAATAAAAAATGAACAACAAATATTTTTTCATTTAATTTGTATCTGTTTCCGTTCATGTTATGCACAAACTCAATTTATAACAACTCTTTACAAAACATGTCTCTGTAAACACACCATACCCGAAAAGGAGCAGGGAGAAACAAATAATCTTATATTTCCTGCCCTTTTCTCAAATAAAAAAAAAAAATAGAAATAGATGGTCTGTCCTTCATATTTTTTTTATTCACAGCCAATCATTACAGTATCGTAGGAAAATCACAAATAATACATATTATATATTGTTCTAGAAAAATTCAAATGTTCTATTAAAGACCAAAATACTGCAGGAACAAAAATATAGATGTCCAGTAGCAGAGACATATTACGGTGTATTGTAGAGATGTTTTGTTTGTGCCCTTGCCTATTGTTCAGAGACTCCAAAGAAAAAGCAGAACCAGGATGACTCTGATGAGTACGATGAAGATGACGAACCAGGACCCTCCTTTCAGCCGCCCGCTGCGGGACAGCCGCAGGCCGCGTACATCCCCCCCATGACGCAGCCCGGCATGCCCCCTGGCTCTGGAGCTCCAGGGATACCACCAGGGAGCTACTCCGGTAAGAGCCTAAACAACACTGTATTGGTGCTGTTTGCAAAGTAAGATGGCGATATCTATGAACATGTATCCCTGTGTTTTGTCACTAAATAGATGACTGATTGTACACGGGCACCTGATAAAATGAAATAAAAACAATAATTATGATGTTAAAATAGGAATATTAATGAAAACAGAAGCATCATTCCATTTACTGTATAATCCACATAAATAACTTGTGATTTGAGTTTCACATAATCTTTTTGTTTAAGGAATTCCCCCGATGATGCCAGGTGTGCCACCAATGATGCACGGAATGCCCCCCGTAATGCCAGGAATGCCTCCAGGGTGACATTTTGGGATTTTTAATAATAACTGTCATTCCTATTTAATCCCATCCTCATGATATCTTGGTATTTTAAACATGGACATGTTTCCTCGTGTGTTTAGCATGATACCAATGGGAGGGATGATGCCTCCAGGTGTTGGGATGCCACCAATGATGGTCGGGGTGCCACCAGGTAATGCCTCGTCTGCGTATGTCGTTAGAGAATACTAACCTCCACAACATTGCCATAATGTGTGTTTTTTTTGTCATTTAAATTAGTTTTAAAATGTTGAATAAGTCAAATGTGAAATAAAGAAGATAACACTTTAATATAAACATGTTTTACCACTATAATAAATACAAAATAAAATATCAGCATATAAAGATACTATAAGAAAATCATTATTTAATACTTAATACCCTATTTAGAGCCTCAACTATTAGGATGGTAAATAAAATAATAATCTGTCTTTTAGGACCGTTATTTACTTTGAAAAAACATTGTAAACATTTCTTCTGTTATCATGTTATCTATCATCATTATTATGAATTAATTTGAAATGTCTATTCTTCCAATGAAAGTTTGTAAATGTATATTGTGAATCTGCTGTAATGAGGCATCACTTGTTTCAAGTTTCAAGGCTTTTATTGTCATGTGTGCTACAGTGTAGTTATGACAACGAAAATCTTAGGTCACAGGCTCCTCCAACAGTGCAACACAATAAAACAGATAAAATAGTACAAGTAAATAATATTGAAACTTGTTCCCTCACGCTATGAATGTGTTTTGCTGTTGTCAGGCATGCCTCCCGTGGGCCACCACCCTGGCATCACACACATGTCTCAGGTTCCCCCTGCTGCAAACGTCCTGACTCGACCTGCTGTTCCTGCTGTCCCCCCCGCCCAGCCTGGTCTCTCAAAGCCTCTTTTCCCCATTGGTGGACAGGTAAGACCTTCATGACACCATTCACAAAAACAAATATATATAAAAATATGTATGCAAATATATACCTATATATGCACACAATTAAAGACACATTTATATATATATGCACACATTAAGACCTAAATAAAAGCACAACAATCAACATATCCAAAAATAACAGTCACTTCAATATCTTTGAGAATGTACATTAGTGCAAGACTGTCCATAGCAGTGAAAAAAAAAAAGTGTCTGTTGCTGGATTTGAGTGTCTGTGTTATCTCAACTCTCTCCTGTACTGCAGATGGTCAGTCACGTTCCAAGTACCAGTGTAGATTCTCAGTCTGCCTCCCCTAAAGCTCTGTCCCAAGTGTGCAGCTGTCTGCCTGCTCCACTGTGACACCCTGCAGCTTTACACCTGGCATGCACATCGCTTTGAATAGTTTGCCTGCTGTGGTATACCTGGGAATTCATTCAGTTTTATTTGCCAGAGCTGTTATTGCAAGAAATGATCAATTCTAACCAATTATGGGGCTAGAAAATACTTTGTGTAATGTCTAGCAAAATGCCATTGTTTGCGTTTTGTTTTGCTACAAATCTGCATAATAGAATACATCTAGGTTAGATTAAGCACCGTAACAACATGAGACAATCGAGAGTCATGCAGATTTGTAAATGAAGCTTCTTTATTCTGAACTGCTTTAGGGCACAGCGGGATCTTTTGGATTTGTTTTCTTGCAGGCTACAAAATAGATGTAACTTAGTCATACTTTAAAGGGTTACTCCAACATTTGTATTACATCAGTTCTATAGAGATTACTTAGACCCAAATTATAAACTTGTGTTAACATGCCATTATGAAGTGAAAATATACATTTGCACAATCAAAGCCTGATAATCTGTGTTCTTCTTGAGACTTAAATGGGTTTAGGTTTGATTTACCCACTTAAATCTCTCAAAACACAATCTTTGTAATGTCCAGTTGTCAAAATCAAAATGTTCTTCTTGGCCGCTTTATGGCAATATATGACAGGAATACATCTTAAATACTTGATTCTGATTGGTCAATTACTGCATTCTGCTTCTTAATAGCAGACCATTGCTATGGATGCAATTATATCAACATTTTATTAATCTAAAACAATTTGAAATCAATATTTTGTGTCAATTATGCTCGTATTAGAAAAACGAAAAGTGCAAAAACCACCTTGACTGTCTTTTCTTCCCTCCTTGCTGAACCAAAGTTTAAACCAGGCCAATTAAAGTAGCAAAAAATCAGAACTTATTTCTAGACCCTTTTCATAAAGAGCAGGTCTTGACAGTACATACACCCTCATTAATGGGAATAACCACAACGTATACCTACAGTTTATCTCTTTATGAAAATGAAATGCTTTCCAGCTTCTCTAATGTGTTTTCTTCTCCTCCCTCAGAGTCAGCAGTCAGGGTCACCCCACCCTCCCTCCTCCTCCTCTGACCCCTCGAAGCCCACCTTCCCGCCCTACACTCAGACCCCCGTAGCCGCGCTCAGCCCCGGCAGCAGCACGCTCTCCAAACCCCCCTCCACTGTGACCAGTAAGCCTGCCACCCTCACCCCCTCCAGTGCAACCAGTAAGTTGATCCACCCTGATGAGGACGTCTCACTGGTGAGTACTCCACCTTTTTGTTGGCATTTTGTTATTTTAACACATCAACACATACAGTCATTCTTTAAGGAACGGTTCATTTATTTTAGGCTTGACATTGATACGTTTATTTTTCCAAAGTAAGTAGACATTTTGAGGAGAAAGTCTTTCACACAGCCAAAGTCTTTCCTTGTTTATTTCTCCTGGCTGATCTTCAGAGATTCAGTCTCTAATAACTTGTTCTCTTTTGCTCTGTGTGTCTGCTAGGAGGAGTTGCGGGCTCAGTTGCCGAGGTACCAACACAGTATTTCCCGTCCAAGCCAGACCCCCGCTGCTGCCCCCTCAGCGGTGGGCATGATGGCTCAGCAGCCCGGCATGAGGCATCCCATACCTGGTAAGCTACTGACTTCCTTTTATTAGTTATTAGCATGTTGTTGGTGTGTTAACCACAGCTGTTTATTCTTAGCTGTTGTGGGGTACAACGCTGTACTTCAGGATGAGAATGCTTCTAAAGCAGGGGTGGGGAACCTTTTTCCTCTCAAGGGCCATTTACATTTTTCCAACATCCTCCGAGGGCCGTACAAATGATTGACCTCTGCTTAAAAATGCTAAAATCACAGCCCATTCATTTGGGCTCAATCCAGATATCTCACCATGACTCGTGCATGCATTCACGTGCACGGTTGTGGCATGACCACCAAAACAGAAAGATTTGGACACAAAATGCATGCACGAGTCATGGTGAGATATCTGGATTGAGCCCAAATGAATGNAGCATCAGGAACAGTTTAAAGGTAAAGATTCTTTAGAGCAGGGGTGGGGAACCTACGGCCCGCGAGACCATTTGGTACGGCCCTCGACGTAATTTATAAACACACGCAAAAAAGAAAAAAATTAAAGAAATCTAGACCGCAAAAAAATTAAACAAGCGAGTGCCTGTTTTTCCTGGCCAAGGTCAGGGTCCTTGAACACAACACGAGCCTAACGTGTCATCACGTGGTATATGTCTCGTCTGACAGGGGTGTATTTCTGACGGAGAGCACCATAACGCCGCTCCGGCACTTCCAAAAATGTCAGTACCCATAAGGAGCCGTACACATGCCGCAGTTTCTGCGTGGCTGTGTCTTTAGTTGAAAGCCCAGTGGCGATCTGTTCTTCTGTCATACTGACCATGCAGTCAATAACTTTGTTGTTATTAGCATCTGGTTAGCTAGCTATGCTAACAAATATAAGAAGCTTTTTCTCCAACCAGTGAGGTAAAGGCACATCTTTATATGATCATTATAGTTATTATAAAAAAATAAGAGAATAAGGTAAACAGGTATAAAATACTATATGACAGTAAAAAACTTGTTATTAATAAACAAGAATACAGTTTGAAAGGGGAGTGATTTNTTGTTTAATTTTTTTGCGGTCTAGATTTCTTTAATTTTTTTCTTTTTTGCGTGTGTTTATAAATTACCTTGAGGGCCGTACCAAATGGTCTCGCGGGCCGTATACGGCCCGGGGGCCGCAGGTTCCCCACCCCTGCTCTAAAGAATCTTTACCTTTAAACTGTTCCTGATGCTATAACTTACCAAGCAATATTGAACGAAATGTGTGAATGAGGCATATCTGTAGGGATGGCAATGTCTCTATTATTGGATGGTTTGTCACGGTCCCCAGAAGATAAATCCTGATGACTTTGGTGATCCCCTTTTTCTTATAGCACCTTTTACAAAGTCAACGTTTTTATTTGTCCAATACTTTGGTTATATTATATTTAAAATATAAAAACATTTCTTGTCGTTCCGTATGACCTGAATCAGACATAATTACAGCATTATGGACTCTTGTTATAAGGTAAAACACATGATTTTTTAATTAATTTCCCCAGGACAGTACGGGTGTCCGCCCCAGGGGATGCCAGGCTACATGCCAGGGGGGATGCCTCCATACGGACAGGCCCCTCGTGTGGGACCCCCCGGGTACCAGGGAGCCCCTCTCCGGCCCATGGGTCTGAGGCCCCCTGTCATGTCTCCTGGAGCCCGCTACTGAAGCCTGCCATCCTCTCTTCAATAGGTTTGGACACTCAACCCTTTTCTAATGTCCTCAACTGCTAGTAGAAACCAGTATTGGTATTATATTACCACCACGTACTGTTTATTCTACTACTGAGCTATGAGGAAGAGACACTGAATACACAACAAACAAAATAGTTAGATAGTTAGATGAACAGCATCACAGAGCGCACGGGAAATATTTACATTGTACCTAAACAAGACTATGAAGTGTTGTTTGAAACCATCTCTGTTCTGTGGCTTCTTTTCCTTCTCATGTTTCATTCAGGTGTGTAGAAGTGTAGTAGATATGGTTCGTAGTGTTGTTGTGAAGGCGCTGGAGTTACATGGGCAGTGCGCACCCTTTATCAAGGCAAGTTGTATGTAAATACATTTCTGTTCTGAGCTAACAGTGAGGCCTTCACAGCACGTAGTGCTGTTGGACTTCGTGTCCCCAACTTTGTTTGGTGAGGGCTTCATTTAACTGTTCATGCATTCAATCTGTGTTATGTTTATAGTTTTAATGGAGAAGATACTCCCATAACCTTAAATAGTTGGAGTACTTAATGAAGTGGTATATGTATTGTTGTAAAATTGATTGTAATAAAATGTGGCAAAAATGAAAGACTCTTCTTTGCGGTACGTTAGTGGGATGAGACGTCACAGCAGGTTTGTACTCCAGTTATAAACGTCAGTGTTGTCTTTAAGCTGAATCAACCGAAATGTACATCTCTGCTTTTATTTGAAAAATGCAAGTAAATGTTTCACTTTTGAATTGAGTATTTACCGTTCAAAAGATAATAAATAAATGATTGGTAGTCTGTACGTGCCAAGTGCATTTGACAGCTGCATAACCTCCGGGTCACAGCGGTGCTTAAACCCAGATTTCTCTTCTCCCTGTAGCGATGCCATGGGGGACCGGCTGAGGCCGAGTCTCAGTGTAGCCCTGTTTCAGCCGGAGGCAAGTCCCACCATTTTCTGTCTTCTCATTCATTGCCAGGGGCCCTCACAGCTTAAACGCTGTTGGATCTCAAGGTCCCCAAACTTGCAGCAAGTTTGGTGAAGGCCCTTGTTTGTGTTTTTGCATTGAGGCATCATTTTATTCAGGCATGTCAGTTTATGTGAATACTAATATAGATTGTACAGTATGTGTCATTGAATCTGTATTCTCCCTTCTTGATTGGTGGGAGCATCAGGAAGCTTGGTTTTCATTTAATAACTTCATACTGAAAGTGTGGAGTTATTCAATTAAAACAGTTTTCTTTTTTAAAAGCTAAAGCCCTACAGTCAGAAAGTAAGTATGGCTTGGTCAAATGTCTAATCACATACAGCTATATATAAATGAATGTGTGTTGGGAAGTTTATGATGAAAATATGCTTGTAAAATGGCTTTTCCACTTAATCCTGTTTGTTTCATCAGCTGTCCTCACTTGATCATTTGAATTTAACCACTTACATGAAGGAGAACCCTACCAGTACCAGGTTAGTTAAAGCTGTAAGTACCACTGATGTCATTTTAACTTCCATCGACCTGAGTTTTGTACACATACAGTATAAATGAGCCCACAACAATTCTAAAGTATTTGACATGATGACAGCCAAAGATTCATTATGATCTCGAGAAACAACTCGGGGCAGGAATGTCAAGTTGATACTTGAGTGTCAAACATATTTATTTTGTTCTAGTTTGGGATTCATATGATTACCATTTCCATATAAGGCTTGATGGGTATAACCACCAATTAAGGATGAAATGCTCTACATGAGCAATAGAGTCTTCCCTGGTAAGTATGGATGCATCACTGTTTAATATGCTTATAGTGTTGTTTACATGAAGTGGCTATGTGCCCACTCAGGTGGGAACTTTGTTTGTGTTTGCTCTTGTATTGTAGATTTGAAATGTTGTACAATTTCAATACAGTATTTTGTTCCCACAGATTTATTCATTTGAATGTTGCTGTTTCTTTATACTGTGACTATTTTTCAATGTGCATTGTTGTTTTCTTATGTATCCTACTTTTGAGGTAGTTTCTTTTTTAGGAATGAATGATTTATGTTTTAAGATTTATTAGGATTTTCTATTTTTGTGATTCATGAAGACAGAAATGGTAAATAAATGCTATTAGTAAATAAATGACACCCCAGTCCAACATGTCTGGACAAACAACCTTATACTGACCCAGGTACTTCTGAACATTACTCAATGAAAAACTCTTAAGGAAATATTGAATACATTGTTAATAGTAGTGCAGCAGATGTTTTCCTTTAAATCAAAAACTGAAGCTTCCCCAGCAATATTTGTTTTAGGATGCTCTTTAAAAAAACACAACTGAATATGATGTGTTATATTTGCACCAATGTCTGAATAGTAATTGTTCTTGAAATAAACAGTTTCATAACTATGTGTCTTTCTAATGTCTCCCCTTTATTATTAATATTATTTTATGTATGTGAAAACACTTAATGGGACTCCTTGATAGGAACTTCCTGTAAATTACCTTTGTTAATTTAGTGCATTTTTATGAATTTTGACTGAGATAGAGATCACTTTTGCAATAATATAAAAGGTGCATATTAGTGAACGTATATTTCCCAAGTAAAGCATTTAATCTTTTGATCGTAAGAGTATTGATTCAACGAGGAAATGTTTGTAAAACTATAGATGAAGTAGAATTTAAATCAAGACTGAAGTATCATGTTTTCATCATCAACAACTTTATTTCTTGTGTCATGCAGTAACTGATGAGATCAATAATTGTCTGAGGTCACATTTTGACAATCAGACCCAGGAAGCATTATTGCATATGAAACATTACCTATAGGTATGTGCATACAGTATTAACAATCTATCAATTGTCAATGCAAAAACAAAAAAGTTATTTTCAGTCTGCCAAGGCACAC